CTCGCCGGGCGGGGGAGCCCGGCCCGGGCCCGGCTGAGCCGCCGCGCGTCCCCCGCAGCGCGTTTATCACCCCGACTACAACAACGAGCTCACGCAGTTCCTGCCCCGAACCATCGTCCTCAAGAAGCCGCCCGGGGCGCAGGTGAGGCGGGCGGCGCTGCCTGGGCGCGGTGTCGCGTTCCCAGAGCGTTTCCTGGCCAGAAAGGCGCTGGCATTGCGAGATTCCCGACTGGCAGCGTCCTGGCACAGGGAACTGCGGTGACAGGCGTGGGGCGGGCAGGGTGGCCGATCCCGGGGCGGTGGGTAAGGGCAGGGGTTGTTCCCCATGTGGTATTTTGGGATGTGGAGCTGCTGGAGGGTGGGAGCGGGGTATTCCCGGTGGCAGGAATTTGGAGAGAGGGCCTTGGATTCTCCGGGAGACAGAGCAGGGAGGAGGGTCCTGGGGAAGTGGAAGGAACCTGGACAGGGCGAAGAGTCCTGGGGAATGGAAAGAGAACTGGGCCAAGGGAAGAGTCCTGGTGACTGCATCTCCATGCTGGTTTTTCCAACAGCTGGGCTTCAACATCCGGGGAGGAAAAGCCTCGCAGCTGGGAATCTTCATCTCCAAGGTGTGTCCGTCCCTGTGCCATTCCCTGTGCCGGTGGGAGCAGCTGAGCCGGCTGGGTGTGCAGGGAGGCTCTGGCTGCCTCACACCCCCTGAGCTCGGGGCTGGGATCTGACAAAAAGTCCTCAGAACATGCTGCACCACTCCCTGATCTCTTCCCAGCCCCTGGAATTGCTCTCTGGGGCAGTGTGGGAGGGGAGCTGTGGGAGATCCGCTGCTGCCATCCCTGCTCTCCCTTCCCAGGTGATTCCCGACTCGGATGCTCACAGGGCCGGGCTGCAGGAGGGGGACCAGGTGCTCTCAGTGAACGATGTGGATTTCCAGGACATTGAGCACAGCAAGGTGAGCGCTGGGGTGGGGAATCCACCTCCTTCCAGCCTCCCAGCTCAGCACAGAACCCGTGGAATGCTCTTCCCTTGTTTTCTAGGCAGTGGAGATCCTGAAGACAGCGCGGGAGATCACCATGCGCGTCCGGTACTTCCCCTACAGTAAGTGCCCAGTCCTGGAACGCTCCTTGGGAAGCAAACTTCCATAAATCCCTGCCTGTTCCACCCGAGTTTAGCTGCCCAAGGTCACTGACTGTTGATTTGGGATCAGGCACCACGTCAGGATAATGAGGCCTGGCTTCATCTGCCCTTGTAGGAAACCTCGGAGAGCAAAAAGGTGGTGGAATAGTTGGGGAATGGAAAACTTAATTTAGAGCTCATAAATTTCAGCTAATTATCCTTGAATAACATAGGAACAAGATCTGGCACAAGTAGATATCCTACCACTGGTGGATATCCCTCCCTAAGGATGTTTGAATTGCGAGTGAAGGACTGGGTTAACTCCCAGTTTCTGCTTCTGCACCCATAAAGTTCCAAGATTTAAGGGATAAAAAAAGGAGGAAGTCGAGCCAAACAAGGATTCTTCATAAAATAGAAAGTGGCCATTAAGAAGAAAAGAAAAAAAGGAGTAGGGAAGGAGGGGATTTAAAACAAAAAATTTTGGCCTAAAATCACTTGAAATGACTGGTGAGGGGTACACTCTTAAAGCCAGAGGGTCTCAAACAGTGCCTCCACTTGGAAATGCGTGTTTTCCTGAATATTTTGGGCAATTCCCCCTGGCCATCCTCTCTTTGTCCCTCCCTCCCAGATTACCAGCGGCAGAAGGAGCGGACAGTTCACTAACGGGGAGCTTCATCCTGCCAAAACCTCTCCACTCCTTTTTCCCCAATGTCTGAGATGACTCCTCACGTTTCAGCTTTCACTGGAGGCACTGCTGTCCTGCACAGCTCTTTCCCACGTGGAGAGATGCCAAGGGGCTCATTTGGCTGGAAGATGGATGGGGATTGAGGCTGTGCTCCTGGGAATGGGTGTTGGGAAAAGCTGGTGTGAAGTGGATTCTGGGGGGCAGCCGCTCCAGCAGGATCCAAATTTTAGCAAGACTTAAATTAGGTGAGTTCTGGGTTGGTTCTGGATCCCTTGATCCTGGATCCCTGGTTGTTGAGCATTCCTGAGCAGAGCATGGAATTGTCCTCCAGGAAATCCACCTGTTCCACTCTCTTGTGCCATGGAATTCTTTCCTTCTCCTCTGTCCCACCTCTGCTCTGCATTGCTGGGTTTGCTGGGAACTCCAGGAGGAAAATCCAGCCCCAGTCTGTGCACAGATGTGGCTGCTTGTGGCTCTTTGCTGATAAAACCCCACATTATAGGGCTGGGATGTTTGGAAATGTTAATTACCAAGGAAACATGTTAATTATCAGCAAATCCAGGGGCAAATGCCTGGTGAGATCATGTTGTAATGGCTTCAGGACAGCCCTGGCTCTGGCCTTCTCTTCCTTGTGGTGTTTTCCACTTTTTCTGTAAAAATAATCAATAAATCAAGTACAGCAGCCTGAATTCAGCTTATTCCCACTCAGGAAGTCTGTGTGGAGGTTGGGATGTACCCACCACAAGCACCATTCCAACAAAATGCTGGGACAAGGCTCAGCTCCAGTCACCCTTGCAGCCTACATGAGAAAATTTGGGATCTGCAGCTGTTTCAGGGGCTTTTTCCACTGGCTTTCCTGGAAACCAGCTCCTGTTTAACCTGGAGTGTTCCAGCACTGCCAGGAAGGAGCAAGGCAGGATTTTGGCTGTGGTGGCGCCAGCACAACTCCAGGAGCAGGGCAGGACACTGAGCCAGGAAAAGACACTGGAAAAGAGATTTTCATTCAGAATTTAAAATTAGCTTTTCCACCTGGGGAATGAACATTCTGGAAGCCCCTGCAACACCCTGGGAAGGGGAAGGAGACCTCTTTTATCACTTCTCTGGTCTCACACTGGTTTCCCAGAATCTCTGTGTTCCACAGGGAAAGAGGAGCTCTCTTCACAGGGAGCTGCAGGTACAATTCCATTTGAATTTGTCCCTCCTGCTT